TCTCCACTTTGGCCCGTCCAAAGGAAAAGTCTTGCTGAGCCTTGGTTGTTCAGTCTTCATATAATTGTCCTGACATGAACTTTAACATTTAAAATGTCAACTGAGGCCTGTAGAGTCTGCAATGTAGCTTAATGATTTTTTCCAGTTTCTCTGGGACAGTCAGTCCTTGGAAGATTGGCAGCATCAACACATACGTGAATGCTACAGATCAATTAATCAAGTGCACTTGAGTATCAGCACTTGATTAACTGATCTTGATTAATTCCTATGATAGCAGTAAAGGTGTGCTTAGTTTTTCTCACAGCATCTTGTGAAAAAGTACTTCTAAAAACAACTGTGGGTGAGCCCAGGATTTACAAATCTGTATTTTTCTATCATCCAGGGAGCAGCGATGTTGTGAAATTTGCATTTAATAATGCATCCTTTGATGATGAAATGATAGGTTTATGGCTGAGTATGCTTGTTGTCCAAGACAGCAAGGGGAAATAATCTAGAAATTGACTTACGGGACATTGGTACCCTCTTCTTTTGAAGAAAGACGATCTTCTCCTCTTAAAGTAAGACACTGTCCCGGATAAGGCTGCCCAGCCTTGCAAGCACATGATAAAATACAAAACGCAGCCTGTCTGCTTTGAGAAATCCAGGACATCGCCACCGTATCTGGGAGCCTTCAAAATAATGTCAACTGGTAATCAATAGACTTTGGTGATTCAAATGGCTTAAAATCCATACTGAAAAGTCAACATGCTAAACATAAACACGGTTCTTATAAATAAACCAATATTATCTTGTGATACACGGACATGATTAATACGATTTTGAACTACACTTGAAGCGGGGTCAGTGTCTGGTGCCATTCATTCAAGAGGAGAAACGCTGATGGATTCAATAGATTCAGCTGGGTTCTCTAACCTCCAAGCATTCAGCAGTGTGAGCAGTCCACACCCACACACACTTTGAAAAGAAACTCTAATCTTGTTTTGGAAAGAAACCCTACACATGCAGGGAGAGACTCTAAATGGGACAAAAACCATGTTACAGCTTATTTCCAGAAAATGTATGGCATTGAGAGGCTGCTGAAATAGCTTTATATTGCTTGCTGAGAATAACGGCAGTACTTGGTAATGGATTATTTTGGTCTGTGTCTCGCTCTTTTTTTCTCCCTGCAGGGCTAAAGCAGATCCATGCCCTGTCCATCCAGGGGAACTATGAGCTACGTATCGACCTGGAGGACTTTGAAAATAACACAGCGTACGCCCAGTACGGCACCTTCGGAGTGGGCCTCTTCTCGGTGGACGCCGATGATGACGGATACCCTTTGACTGTGGGAGACTATTCAGGCAATGCAGGTATGTGCTGTGTACTCAGTGAACTCATTAAGGCTTTTCTTGGAAGACATACTGTGCACTCTGATTAGTATACACCATATTTGTTTTGCACATATTATTTTTTTCCCCTTCGTTCAACCTAATGGCAAACACAGCAGTGTGCGAAAGTCCAGCCAACGCCCCTCGTATTCTGCATTCCAGCAAATATAACTGTGCATTATTTTTGCAGTGCAGTAGACGTGTCCACTTGTTAAGCTTTGCAGAGAGTGCTCAGAGTGAGGGACTGCTAGTGTCTGTTTCTCTGCTCACTCATCGTGAGATTCAAGCCAGCTACCTGTCACCTTGATTAAATTACTGCCAATTAATTGCCGTGCTTGACCTGCAGCGTAAACAAAAAAGCTGCCATTGAAATGAAGAAGCAATTTAAAGAAGCTTTGGGGAGCAGTGCTTTGAGAACAGACAGAGAGAGAATGGGGACAGATATGAGAGCGGGGAGGAGAGTAGTCGATAAGAAGGAGGGCGACTGGAGGAAACTGGGATGGGAGAACTAGGGGGACAGGTGTGGGAGAAAAAGAGGTAAATAAAAATGAGGATAGAGATATTTAAGGGACAGAGAAGGCAATGAAGCGAAGGAGGAAGAGAAAAATGGGTTGTATGTATGATGGGATGGGGGGGTGTTCCTCCAGCTATGGCTCTGCTAAAATTCCTGTAAAACTCCAGGTCTGTCCTCTTCAAAGCCTGACCTTGAACTCGTTTGCCTGCTGGACATTTGAATCCAGTCAAATTATGGCTACTCCAGCTCTCTCGGGATAGTCACACTCTCACGTCAGCTTCCCCTACAGCAGCTCTACTGTTATTATTAGTAGTATTTTCCATAGCTCTGGCTGCTTTTGATCAGCAGACAGGTGCTCGTTTCTACTGGGAGCAGCTGGATCTTAATGGGCATCAGAGGAGGCTGCCGGCCCCCAAGCCACCCAAGTGGCATCCTCTGCCTTGTAAATGAGCTTGTTTTTGCGCCCCTCCCCCACCCTTCCCCTTTTCTTCCTAGCTCTGGACATCATTGTACTGTTGACACCAGTAAGCATTTTTTTCCCTTGTTCTACTCCCCCACTATCTAATTTCTCCTAACATCAAGCGGCACACAACGTGAATATCAGACATGCCTGTCAAATTATTTTTCCTACCGAGCGGTTACCATAGTAATGCCAAATAGCAAGTGGAGCAGGGCAAAGTGAGAGGGTAAGAAGCTGTGCGGCCACATCCTGGGCAATTAAGGGCTGTTTGATGCCCTGACGAGCTGTTAGGCTTCACCTGATGACTGGTGAGCACTCTTTCATTCTGCTCACCACTTTATCCCTCTATCCATTTCTAGTCACAGTGTGAAGCCTGCTTTTTTTCCAAAAAAAAAAATTTGAAGGGGCAAAGAGTGGAGGAAATGTATGGGGAGTTTATTGAACATTATGAGCTCTTTTAACATCCATTTGCAGGAAACTTTTGGTCTACCGCAGCATCTGCAAGGGCGTTACTTTCATTTTCCTGGTGAATTTACAGCAGCGGCTCGCAAAACAGTTGTCAGTGTGAGAGGATTTGCCAGTAATAAATCTTTAAATAGTCAGAGCGATATTTTCAGCTGTGTGGATCAGATTGACCTTTCAGACCACTATTAGGTCCACTTAGGTGATGCAACTTGGCTGCGCCACATCCCTGCAGTGGTCTTTCATCACTGCCATAATCACAATGAGAGGTTATGGGAAAGAATGCCCTCTTATAGAATAAGTACGCTTTTAAAGCTCTTTGAAGCTGTTACAAAAGTTACATTATTATACTAAATTTCTTAAAGTGGACAAAATACCCTGACTTAGCAAAAGACTGAGGGGCAAGATGTAGGGGTAAACACACACCACATAAACAAACACAAAGACATAACCGGAATGAGGGCACAGAGGGCAAGGGGATGTGAAAACACTCAGACCTCGAGGGAGGGAAAAACAATATGGCCGTACCTAAAACCATGACATCAACATATGTGAGACAGACCATTTAGTATGTCTCATGTATCATCTGAAAGATTTGTATCCATTAACAACCTAATGAAATCATTTGGGGAGTGTTATTAAAAGGTCGCCACAGAACCTTTGATTAACTGCCTACAAAGCCGTCTGACCTACTGCTTCAGCTAATGACAAGAAATACTCAGGAGGACACTGGAGCTGTATTTTTATTCTTTTATCTCTTTCTCTCTACAAAACAAAAAATAATAATAATTGGAAAGTTATGAGGTCTTTTGAAGTTAATCGCTTGTGTATATGTCTAATTACAGGTTTCTAAACCAAGAATGTTCTGATGAAAGATGTAAAGGAGATAGCTATTATTTCAGTAACACTTTATAATATATACTTTACTAAGAGAGTAAATCCCGATGGAATTCAATGGAATTTCACTTTCATTTATTTGAACAAAAATGCAATTATATTTATCTACAAACACAAACAAGTTCGGTTTTTGCAGGAAACAAAGACATAATTGTAATGTAAATACATTTAAGTACTATGTGGGTAATTTTGAGTTGATTTCACTTCTATGGTCATTTAGCAATGAAATCAAATTAATTATGTCACATCATAAATATGGTATACTTTTTGGGCCACGGGCCATAATATGGAGGTTTTTCTTTTATTAAGAATTAATTAAGAAAAAACAGGTTCCATTAAAATATGGGGTCTCGTGACATAATGATGGGGAGAAACCCTTTTTTAACAATGAGTGTTCAAACATCCTCGTGTCCTGTAAAATATCTGATAGTTAGGCAAAGTTTTGCCACCACATAATTCAGTCCGTGTTCCAAAAGGTACAGTGTGCTTACAATGTACGATGGAAAAAGTGGCTGTGGGGGTGGCTGTAGCTCAGGCGGTAGAGCAGGATCAGTCATCTACTGATTGGAAGGTTGGTGGTTTGATTCCCGGCTTCCCCCTCGTCTGCATGCCAAATATCCTTGGACAAGATACTAACCCCAAGTTGCTCTCTGATGCATCCATCGGAGTGTGAATGTTAGTTAGAAAGCACTAAGAAAATTGTGCTTGTGCTTATGGGTGAATGCACTAGTTGTGTGAAGCGCTTTAAGTGCTCAGAAGAGTAGAAAAGCATTAGATGAGAACCAGTCCATTTACCCAAAATGTTCTTTGTTTTTCCCACAAAATTACCAAGAAATGATGCAGTACGGAAAATGTTCTAACTGTGCGATTTGGATCGCGTTTCTTGTAAAATACCCAGAACTTAAATTTACTTACAGTCTAATTGTTCCTCTGTTCCTTCTAAAAACCTGATTTGTCACCGCATTATTCTAGTATTTCTACTTTTAAGTATTTGTAGGCAAGTATAATTAAACTGTAATTTAGTTTAAAAGGCAGTTTAAATTTTATTTAATTACAGTTGAATTACACTCTTAGATGCAGAACATATTTTTATGATGTTACAGATTCATCTATGTTGTTTTATTCATTAACTTCAGTTGTACGACTATTTTGTGTGTACTGACACATTCAAATTTAATTGCCGTTCTTTTCTTTTTTTTAGGTGATTCTCTGTTGAAGCACAATGGAATGAAGTTCACCACCAAAGACAAAGATAACGACCACTCGGAGAATAACTGCGCCTCCTTCTACCATGGCGCGTGGTGGTACCGAAACTGCCACACCTCCAACCTTAACGGCCAGTACCTGCGCGGTCAGCACACCTCCTATGCCGATGGCATTGAGTGGTCCTCCTGGACTGGCTGGCAGTACTCCCTCAAATTCTCCGAGATTAAGATACGCCCGACCCGCGACCCAGAGAATAAATGAAACTGACACGAGAAGGAAAAAAAAAAAAGAAGAAGAAAATTTTCAAACATTATAAACCACAGTTTCTGACAGCTTGATGGAGTTACTTGTCTCGATATTGTTTATTCACTAAAACGTGCATCTTTGACTTTAGTTGACTCTGCTGTTTTCTCGTGATGTCTCTCTTCCATTTTTTTGCTCCTCTTCCTCGCTCACTCAGCTACTAGTCACCCTGGCTACCTTAATCCTTCCCGTGGTCCCATTCTTTGAGAAATTAAATAACCCGGACGCTCTTATTTTTGAACGTTTAGTTCACAAAAACAGCTTACCAGAGCCCTGAACCAACAACAGTCCACTGCTCCGGGTCTGTCAATGTGGTCCAGCCCCCCTCTGAAGTAAAATGGGTCCCCTGACATCAACCTGACCTAACCTGTGCTGACATGGCACTCAGTTCCACTGCCCACTCCTGTAAAATATGTGAAGACAACCCCCGTTCACAAAACATGAAGACAGAATATGGAAATTATTCAACCCCGCAAACCCCACCTCCACCCTCTGCAAAGAAACTCTCAAGTTTTACCAGGGAGAAGGGGACAGGGCAGTGGTGCACTACGTCACATTTACATCTTTGATCTGTCCGAATGAGCCCCGGCAGGGAAAGTGGCGAGAAGTACGGGCGCTCCGATAATGAGAGCGAGACGGAGAAAATGAGGAAACAATTTGACAGGAGCTAAATTGGTGGAAGGAATGGGGGGGCAGAGTGAATCAAACTGGGGAGATGAAGTAGGTGAAGAAGAAGAAAAAGAAGAAGAGGTGCAAGAAAAGGATGGGGGGGAAAAGAAGAGACAGTGGAGGATGTCATTCATCTGACTTGGACCATTAGGGAGCATATTGGGCACTTTGTCTGATCTGCCTGCCAGCTGAGTACTGGCCAACTGATGCAGCACTCACAGATGGTAACCCAGCACTTTGTGTGTGTGTGTGTGTGTGTGTGTGTGTGCGTGTAAGAGAGAGAGAGAGAATGTGTGTGTGCCTGAGACAGAGAGAGACAGACAGACAGAGTTCTCTAACACTATCAATTTCCTGTCACGGGTTCAGTAGAGCATCTCGGTTGACTACAATGTTTAGCACAGAAAGACTAAGCATGATGCACGGCTGGCTTACCTGCACTCTGTCCAACTAAGTAGCTGAAATACGCCTGCAAGGGATGTAACGAATTAAAGCAGGAAAAGACAACAACTTAGAAGAAACTGATGGAGCCACTGAAAGAGACCCGAGGAAACTTCACGCCCCCCTTTCTTGTTTGTCCTCTCTTTTGTACGTTTTTTTTCCTCTCTCTGTTGTTTCCAGATGATTATTGTGGAATCGGTTTGTGCGATACGGTTTTATCTTGTCATGCAAACGGAGCGAAAGATGCTATAAAATAAGATTTGACGCTCTCAACCGCCGTCTTTTTTCTTCAGAGTCATGGCAACATCCAAACTGCCTACAGAAAACAAAGCAAAAAAAGAAAAAAAGATGAAGTCAGTTTAAAAAAAAAAAGGAAAGAAAAAATTCACAGCACATGGGCGGAAAACAGTGCAATCCCGATTTTTTTCCCGTCTCTTTTTTAAAGTCGGTGAATCAACTTTTTTTTGGATGTAATAAAAGCTTTAAAATATCTGTAGATTTTATTGTACAGTGTGTATGACTTTTAGAGCATGAGAATCTGTTTCTTACTATGCTACAACACAAAGAGAACTCAAGCACATAGACTTTACAAAATCCACTGGTTCAAAAAAAGAAGAAGAAAATGCAACATGTGGAGCAAAATAACTTTCCCCCCCCCTTCTTATAAAATGAGCAAAAGGTGGGGAGTGGCGCTCCTTAGGCCAGATCCAAGTGAAGAAGAGTAACATGATTATCCCTTAAGCACATGCCCGCTCTAATCTGCAGCACAAATTTCAGTCTTTATGTCAAAGGCACAATGATAAGAGTTTTTTGAACCTCCTCAGGCACAATAGCTGCCTTGCTGGACATTTGCGACCTTTGTGATTACTTGGCTTTGGAGAGTCACTTGGAAGCAGTTTTGAATCCGTGCTAAAGGGTGACAGTGAGTTAACGTGTAGCACCGAGCAATGTTGCACTTAATACCTCTGACACTGGAACAGCTGTGAGTTTTTCTGTCATCCCCGGTGCTTTGATGAAGGATCCCGTTTCTGTGTGTGTTTCTGCTAGCGCCTCGGCTGTGCACACGCAGTATATGTCACGTCGTGGTGGTGGACTCCTGCCACGTCTTTTCATCGAAGAAGCGCCGAAGACACGTTACACATGCCTGCAGATGTTATTGTGGCACAGAGTGTGCGGTGCGCTATTGTCAATTCCGAGACAAGCTGGAACTGTGCGGAGTCGCTCGAGGAGAGGGAATTGGACCGCTCGTTGAGTATGTGTGCGAATCGTGAGTATGTGCGTGTCTCTTTGCCGGACGGAGCGTCGGTATGCGTGAGCGCAAGCGTGCATCTGCAGTGTTTCTGTGTGTACACGTATATGCACATGCGTCGGTTTGTACACGCCCAACGTGCATGAGCCAGACAAGAGAACAGGAGGCTGGGTGTGTCTCTCTGTGGAATTCTGAAGTAATGTGATGCCTATGTACTACATGCCTCCCTCGCTATTTGTGTTGATAACAGAGAGATTTACATAATTCTAATAATGAACTATTACTTATTGTGATTGTGATCCCATTAAAATGGACACCACCTTCTTGGTACTGTGTTGAACTGCGCTTGTGCCCTCGAATCCTGACAACCCGCTCCCGAATTCTCTGTTCGCCTCAACATGACTTTGTGCTCACTGTATACGTTAGCGCTATGTTTCCCTTGTTATTTAAGTGTAAAGACATGTATTATTTGCCATGATGATCCACCACCCCACCCTTCCTTCCCTCTGTGTTAAAGGCCTTCATTGTCACTCTTTGCTGCTGCAGCTTGCTAAGTCTCCGATGGAAGAGATGATAAAAGAAGTGAAATCAGAGGCTCTGATAATTCCCAGTTAACCCACTCATTACAGAGTATCCGCACCCTCTCCATCGATCCGCCACGTCCCCAAACCCCTTTCTTACTTTGTACCTCCTTAATTGCCTTAGCCTGTGCTGCCAACCCCGGCTCCTAAATTCCTCTCTGCTCTTTCCGCTCTTAACTCCTATCCCCTTTATTGCTCTGTTTTTCTTCCCCTACTCCCATCTCCGCTCTCCTCCACCCAGCCCGCCCATTCCTTCATTCCCAGCGCAGAACTAACTATGTTTTTCTTTTTTCCTTTTATTTTTGGTGAAGTACTATAGATTGTTTTGCTGAATCTTGATACTGTGTTTTAATGTTCTTGTCAACATTTAATAAACATTCACATTTTATAAATGGAGCACACGCCGAAGCATTTGTGTCTCTCTCGCTGTCTCTGTCTCTAGCAGCGCATCCATACACATCTATAGGCGTGTGGTTCTGTGTTTGTAAGAAGCATTTAGTAGCCTTCTGCTTGTCAAAAGAAAAACTTGTTAACGTTTTGGAACATCAACCACGATAAAGTACCACAAAGCATGTCCTTGGTTTTGAAAGGTAGACTAAGCAGACAAAGAAAAGAAAAAAAAAAGCTTTGGGTCTCTGGGGTCGAGCCACGTAGTTATAGCTTTGCTTGGCGAGGATTTAGATAATATCAACTTTCAACAACTTTTCTGCTGCAAACTAAATGCAGAGGTAAATTGAATTTTTGTTTGTCAGAAATGATGCTGCAGCTATTTTAGAGTTGTTCCACAGAGTTGTTCCTTGGGAAAACTAAAGAAGACCATCACCATGCTCCATCAGGACATATAACTGCATGACTGGACATTGGCCCCATTTCTAGTATAAGTTCCAAGTTAGTTTTAGCATTAATTTCACATAAGTGTATACCTAAGTGCACGGAATGATCCAATACCTTGTACAAACACCTTTAGCATTAATAACTTGAAATAACACATAGATTTTTGTATGATTTTATCAAACTCTGACATCATTGTGGAAGAAAGAAAAAAAAACTCAAAGTACAAGTTTTCTAATTTATTAAGCATAATAACAGTGCCTGTCTCCTCCTCTGTTCAGCATGCCAAACAGACAAAGTGCACCACACCCAAACAGTAAACACTTTTATTATGAGAGACAGAAACAGAATATTAATGTCATTGTTTAAAAGTTGGTTTAGCCTTGGCTTCTTCCCTTATATGGAGCTGGACCCAGTGCTTGGTTCATCTTATACTTTCTTTACTGGACATCTCCCTGTAAGAGAAGAGCAGAAAAACAACTCCTCTCTAGACACAGAACCTGGTATCGCATGGGTGTGGCGTTCTCTTTCAACACTCTATTCTATATCACTTATTTGTGTAATAAAAGATGTGACATAAATGTGATAACTGATAAAATGTAAATATGTGATATGAGGTGTTTGTGTTATCTAAAATAATGAGGTATATTTGTATTAAAGATAAAAAGTAAATTGCTAACAGTTTTGGCCCACTCTTCTTTACAGGATAGCATCAGTTTATTAAAGGTACTGAGGTAAGTTGGTAAGGATTTCCTGAACTTTTCTATCAGTGAACATTTCCTTTGTTGCTTCGATTAGCTGCTGTTAGGTAGCATTTGTGAAACTTTCTTTGAAATGGATCTAACATTGTTGAACTCAGGCTCTTAGCAAATAAAGTCTCATAGAATCTGAGAATGTAATCAAAGTGCATATCGGAGGAAAAACGTGATTTTGATTTTCAGGAAAGTTGAGCCTAATATTAGCTGCCTTAATGTTAGCAGGTCTGATCTTTTTTTCTATAAAACCTGTATTCTATATTTCTATAAAAATCTACAAAAACTACTACTGTTGAGAGGATAGTGCCAGTTTTTTAACACACCCAAATGCTTCACACCTGCCAACTGTCAAAATGTCTGCTTTAACAGAGGTGATCACATTTGCCAGTGGTCAGTTAATCAAGGGCATTTGGTTATTAGCACTTGGCTGCTATTTACTTCTTAATTCCCATGGAAGCAGTAAGTTTGTGCATAATTTTTCACATGACTGCATGGGTAGAGTAGCCCAAACATATTCAGAACAAATTTAGAGAGAAACATTCAAAACTTAGATCGCTGGAAGGACAAACATAATACAATTTGATAACAGCAAACGAGCAAGTGATATTTTCAAAGGTTGTATTGTGTGTAATTTTATTACTGCTCTGAAGAGCCGAGTGAAATTGTGAAAATAACAACTAAACAACAAAACAGTAACAAAATAATATTAGTCAGCTTTATCCTTCACTGGGCTTTCAGGTCTTTGTCCTTCGGCTCATTTTTAACTTGGTTTGAAGGCCACAATAACAATGTCTCATTCTGTTCTACGGCAGCTCAAGATCAAAGTTTACTCTAAACACTACATATGACTAATATCCAAATTCAGATCCCCCCTGTAAAAACGCATCATCAATAGAGCTCTTGATAAGAGGAAACCTCTAGAGCTGGAAAATAAAGCCAACGTGGAAGTGGCAAAAATTGCAGGTGGTGCCGCTTGAGGCTGGCTCCAAAAGAAGTCAGTCCCCACAGACTCCACAGAGAGTTAAAATGTCTAAATTTTTATATTTTTATAGTATTAAAAGCAGATTTACAGCCTGGTGAAATGACAGTTGTGGTCTCCATAGTCTCCACCTTCATAGCAAGTGGATAAATGAATAAGGGGCAAAGACATGTCAATTGACAGGTGTCCCAACACAGGCAGCTGGAGCGTCTGCTTGGCCTCGTTAACAACTTGGAATCTTTAAATTGGACCAGTAAGTGTGTGCTGCTGTTGCCTTGTGGAGCATTTTTCATTTTCATGCAGACCATCTTGGGAAGTTTGTCCTACAGTTTTAATTGAGTGAAATTCTAGTGTTTTATCAGTTTGTTCACAAATTTTCCTCTTTAGTTCATCACACAAATGCTTATCACAAATTTATCATCTGAATTTTAACGAGTTTAATTATTTG